GTATCTATTCTTGTGCTCTTAGTGAAATCCTTTTATTATACATACAATACAGTTGAACATTATAAAGATGTTATCTAGTACTACCCTAGATACCTCCAACGAAACCCTTGTATTATACAGTTGTACATTTTTTTAACTCAGTGAAAGCATATGCACGTGAAGCTTTTAAACAATATATGCAACACACATACCCTTGACACCCTGGTAGTAGTACCCTAGGAACCTTTAGTGAAACCCTTTTATTATACAATTGAACATTATAAAGATGTTTTCTAGTAGTACCCTAGAAACCTTTAATGAAACTCTTATAATATACAATCGTACATATTTTTGACTTAATGAAAGCATATGTATGTGAAGCTTTTTAAAACATTATATGCAAAAATGAAATTTAAAAAGGTGATATGTACATTGCCCCCGCTGTTGTAAACATATGAATGCTAATTAGGTGATCATGGATTATGTATGGTAGCATTTGCGGTTTTATTAAGATCTTAATTAGTTCTCTTGTACGAAGTATATAATAAGATTAATAGCAATCCATATTTAATATGACTGTATGATGTATGAGATATGTAAGATGACTTGATAGAGTTAGAAGTTCCATGTAAACTTAATTTCAAGCTATCAATGGTACTTGTGTGATGATCGATGATACGCATAACGACACAAGTATATTTTTTTATCAAGCATATTCTCAATCATCATCACCATTCATTAACAATAAATTGCCTTATATTTCGGGGAAGTTATAAGTTGATTCTATTAATTTTGTAAGTCAAAATGTTATATTTTTGAAACTTTGCAAGTCATTTTAGATAATCTTTTTTTAAAAAAGATAAACAAAATACCCTTGACTCTCTGGTAGTAGTACCCTAGGAACCTTTAACGAAACTCTTTTGTTATACAGTTGAACATTATAAAGATGTTTCTAGTAGTACCCTATAGACCTTTAACGAAACCCTTGTAGTATACAACTGTACATATTTTTGACTCAGTGAAAGCATATGTATATGAAGCTTTTAAAACATTATATGTAAAAATAAAATTAAAAAAAAAGATGATCATGGATTATGTATGGTAGTGTTTGCGGTTTTATTGAAACAAGATCTTAATTAGTTCTCTTGTAGGAAGTATATAATAAGATTAATAATAATTCATATTTAATGTGACTGTATGATGAGATCTGTAAGATGATTTAATAGGTTTAGGAGCTCCATGTAAACTTAATTTGAAGCTATCAATGGTACTTGTGTGATGATTGATGATACGCATAACGACACAAGTATATTTTATTATCAAGCATATTCTCAATCATCGTCACCATTCATTAACAATAAATTGCTACATATTTTGGGGAAGTTAAAGTTGATTCTATTAATTTTGTAAGTCAAAATGTTATATTTTTGAAACTTTTCAAATCATTCTAGATAATCTTTTTTAAAAAAGATTAATAAATACCCTTGACTCCCTGGTAGTAGTATCCTAGGAACCTTTAGCAAAACCCTTTTATTATACAATTGAACATTATAAAGATGTTTTCTAGTAGTACCCTAGAGACCTTTAACGAAATCCTTGTAGTATACAGTTGTATACTTCCTCCGGTTTTTTATTTTTTATTTTTATTTTATACTTGCAACAGTTTGACTTTTACACTCTTCACGCGTTTCACTTTAACTAGCTTTAACGATTTATACTTAATAAAAATATAGTCATGTAGGATCTTGTTAGATTTGTATCGATTTATACAATTTTCATATCTAATATTTTAGCGTGCATATATTAATAATATAGTCATGTAGGATATTGTTAGATTCGTATCGTTAAGTTCTTAGTTTTTAGCGTGCATATGCTCTTTTAAGGTTGGCAAGTGAATTAGTTAACTCCGCATCACCAATTCAATAATTAAAGCAGTTAATAAACACTAGGCAATTAAGTCCATCCAACCCTATATAACATAAAAGAGGATGAACATTATTATCAACCTTAGTAATTAAGGTCAACCTAAAATTTTCACGGCCTAGAAAGGAACCATCAAACCAAATAAATAAACAATGATTTATAACGAAGCAGGACAATTTCATTTTTTAGAGTAAGAAAATCAAAGGAAAATTCAACTTGTAATAGCGATTAAAGGGAAATAGCTTACTCATTGTGATTTAATTGATAAGAACCTTTTAATTTTAGGGGATTTAGGATTTAATTAAAGGAATTCTAAACTAATCATATGAAAAATAGAGCAAAAAATAGCAAAATAATTAAAGAAAAAAATGCGAATTGAGATTTTTTTAAAAAAAAAATAGAGCAAAAAATAGCAAAATAATTAAATTTTTTATTTGGGATTCATAACCTATAAAGAAGCTGGTTCAACAGAGGAGAAAGCTCAGAAGTTGCTTTTTTTTTTTTTTTTGGTGAACAAGAGGGGCAAGCCCCAAGAGAAACAATACACACTAACAAACGAAAGCAAAGAAAAATAAACGAAAACAAAGAAAAACACCAAAAACACCAAAACTTAATCTTCCGGTACTAATCTAGTCCAAGCCACTCCACTCAGGTCCTCCAATAAAACAGCATGAAGATCCTTCGGGATCACCTCAAGTAGCTCAAAGTCACCCTCCAAACGCACCCCATAGTTGGCTAACCAATCAGCCGCCCGATTAGCTTCTCTATAGCAGTGACTAATTGTAACCTCCCATTCTCGTAGAGCAATAAGAGCCTTACAACGTTGGATAATATGAATAAACGGAGAGTTGGTGGGAGTTTCCTCCACCAACATTCGTTAAGTTGGTGGGAGAAGTTGCTTATTGAAGAAGAACGAAATTCCTTAAATTGAGGAGATAGATTGAGGAGAGAGAAGGGAGTAATACAGTGTGAAAAGAGAAAAGATTAAAAAAGAATAAAAAAATTATTTTCTGATTTGTTTTATTAACTAATGGGCCCCTTCTCCATTTGTTTTTTATTCAGCTATGGGTCTCACACCATTATATATTTTACTGTACAATTCTCATTTTCCCTCCATTATCACATACCGTTACACAAAAAGTTGCAATTTATTTACAATATTGCCATGTTATGTATTTTCCAATACATAACTAACCCCCAATACTACTTCCTCGAAACAAACACTAAGATTTTTGTATCACCCAATTGTTTTAAGGCAGCCTACTATTGCACCATCTTCTCTTATTGGTGCTTTTGGTGTGACTGCTACTTTTTATATTCAACGAAATAAGACTTATCCCTACGCCAGATTTTGCCATTTATTTATGGGTCCTTTTTTACTTTGTTATCCCTTACGATTCTACTCCACCTCTATTTCAAATTATTATTTTTGCATCAAGTCATTTTATGTGGACACGTTTATTAAGCTTGTTTTATATAATTGGCTTCAAATTCAAAGTGTAAGCCATGTTCTTTTGCTTTATTCGGCTGAAATTTATTTGTTGGCTTAACATGCTCTACTGACTACACTAGAGTTAAAAGGAATAGGACCTAATCTTGACATTACTAGATAAAATCCTATCCAATGAATAGGACCTAATCTTGACATTACTAGAAAAAATCCTATCCAATATAATATTTGGGAGTAAGATTTATTCATCTGAGGTATGAGCAATAATTTTCCTTACCGCCTTAAACAATTTTTATCCGCAAATACTATGTTGTTAATCTTTTAATTTTATCTGATCAAATGGAATGATTAGATAATATAACTATATAATTGTATGTTAATTAAAGTTTTTTTTTTTTGAATAGAATTAAAGTTATATTTGATTCATGCATGGACATCGTAGTTACGGAGTAGCTAGTTCTTATATTTAACTTTTTAAACTATATATCTTCTACTGTACAAATATTTTAAACTAGCTAATCATATATCGTTGTAATTTTTCTTTAGATTTCATGTCAATATAAGATTTAAAATAAAACTAAGCTGTTAGATTTGTAGATAGCAATTAGTTGTCTACAACTTGTTAGCTGGGAATATAGATAATTTAGGTATGAGTGTTCGATAAAATAGCGGTTAACTAGATGTTACATATAAAATTAATATTTTATTTTTAAAATTATAGATTAAATTTTCAGTAGTTACTTCAAAATTAACCTCTAATTTCTAAAGCTAATAATAACTTACTTTTCGTAAAAGTTATCTCTACCATTAGAAGCTATTTTAACCATTACTTTACCAAACACTTACATTTTTTTAGTAGTGGCACTAAAGTTACCTAAAAACTTCTCAAAATCTAGCGCCGAACACGCCCTAAGTTAGAAAACACTGATGAGTAAATAAGGTAGACAAGATTTGATCCTAGGTTTTGATAATTACTTTCAACAGTCAATACTTTAATCAAATAAATTAGTTCACATCTTAATGAGTTTTTAAGCTATGTGTTGATAAACAAATAAATTAAAGGCATATCACTTTACAAACTATTAAACATATTAACATCAGTTATGTTACTTCCATTATTTTGGCAGCGTTTAACTGATAATATAAGACAAAATATTTGCATCAAACATACCTTAGTTTGAAAGTATATTACTAGACTAGCTCTAAATAGTATTCTAGGGCTAAATCAAAGACAAATCAAAATGAAAGTTTGGTAAAATAAAACTAGACAAAGGAAACAAGAAAGATAGACACATGGTGTTATTTTAATAAGAATTTATAGTATAAACAACTATACAAAATGCATGAAAACTTTGGATACCCAAATAAGTTAAAATTTACCATTTTCTTATGGTGTCAAAATTACAACAAAACATTTGTTTAAATTTTATTTCATCAACTCACATTAAATGAACCCACATTGTTTTATTCAACAATCCTCTGATAAAGAAGATACTCTGAGTTGAAAACTTCAAAGGTAAAATGTGAATTTTAAATTAAATTAAATAAAATTTACTGAAAAATATAGAGAGAAGAAATATTGTACAAGCTGATAGGTGTTAATCTGCATGGACCCACTTAGACCTTAAAGTCCCACATGTCCCTATTGTTTAGCCACACTAACACGTACCCACCATATACTCCCACGTGTCAACCTTTCCTTTCTCCTCTCTTCATGTTGCCTTTCTCCTATTGGTTAACTCTTTCTCTTATATACAACCACCAACCCATGTCCCTAAACCCTTCATCATCTGCCCCTTTGCACATTTGCACTACCCCCCAAGAAATAATCCTTCTCCAAAAATAATATAATCCAAAGTTTTTTTTAATAAGATGATTCAAACGTTAAATATACCATATTCATCAAAAACTGATGAAATTATGTCAAGGTATAGACCAATTGCACCTAAACCTGAGACTCCTGCTAATTCTACTAATACTAATGGTAGTACAAGTAGTAGCTATGATGCACCATTAGTCCCTGAGAAGTTCCGGCAATCGCCGTATTTGAGAAACATGTGGTCTCATCTCCAAGCTCGCCCTACTCGAACCCGTAAACGGGGTCGAGGGTCGGCTATGTCACCTGCTGCTGCGGCCGCCTTGCTAAGGAAACAGCAAGAACAAGAGCAGCAACAACAACAACAATCGAATTTGGGTAGGAGAGCAGCAACAACTACTTTTATGGGTTTATGCTCTCCAACTCATTTACCGTCTTCTGCTAGAAACTTGTCGATCCAAGCATTTGGACTTTACACGGATCATCAACATAACAATAACAGTAAAAATAACCATAACAATGTTGTTGAGCTTCCGCTTCTGTCGTGTCCAATGTTGAGCCTTGGAAACTACTCTAAGGCAATCGATTTGAACACGGCGGCATTGGAAACGACAACGCTCGAAGACAGGGACTTACAGCTCCAATTACAAGTCCCGAGCAGCGGCACCAATAAAACTAGTGTCATATCGCCGCGGCCAATCCGACCAGTAGGGTCATGCATTAGCATCCTGGGGCCAATCAGCGATAACCCGGGAGCTTGGGTTATCGCAAAGGCCCCAGATGAGGCCGAGGCAGAAGCGGAGGCAGAGGCATTGCCGGCTGTCATATCAGATAGAAGCAACAAAGTCCGGATGGTGAACTCGGCTTATAAGGAGCTTGTCGGGCAACCCGAATGCCCGTGGCTTGACACCATGTGTTCGGGTGGTAGAATTAGTGGGGAGGTAATGCTTCAGTTATCAGAGTCCGGTTTGCCGGTTTCGAGCAAGGGATTTTCGTGTTGGGTAAAAATAGAGTGGGAGAGTGATGGTAAGAAGAAATCGGTGAATGCGTATTGTGATGTCGTTAAAATGGTATGTATTTCAAAGGATTATGTTTTATATTGGAGGTTCCACACTAAAGAGTTCTCACCATCCGGGTAAAAAGTTTAGGATGGTTACCTATCAAAACTCTTTTCTCGTCTTCATTAATAGTGTACATTGATGGAGTTAAACAATCCTTAGGCAAATTACATGTATGTAAAAATGTAATGTTAGTAGTATAGAGTAATAGACTAGTTAAGTAGAATCTTAGAGAAGGATAGTAAAATATAAACCATTAATTAATATAAAAGGTTTTTTCATTTTTTTTTTTTTTTGTAAGTTTTTTTTTTTACCTTGCAAATAATTTTTTTGTACCAAGATATTGATGTCGAATTATCCCAAGAAACAAAATGTGAAGACGGTAGGGCGGAAGATTTTGTATGCAAATGAATTCACAATTGGCTTAATTACCTCAAAAAAAAAATTGGCTTAATTACCTACATGCAAAGCCAATGGGTGATAAAAATATTTTGATGATTTATTAAAATAATGTTCTTCATTGACAAATGCCAATCATAGACAATTATCTCAAATCTACTTCCAAAAGATTTTAGTCTATGATTTTTTTTGCTACTTTTACTTGTCGTCATTAAAATAATTATTTTAAATCTTTTTATTTTCTCCATTTGTTTTCCTTCCATGCATTGCGCGTGGACTTTATTTTTATGGTTAATATAACTGGCTACGACTCTCTGTCGTCCTGCTCATCTCATATCATCTCATAAATTTTCTCCATTTCATAACAATTGTTGCAACTAAATTTGATATATTTGTCAATGTACTATTTTAACTCAAAATACTCCATATAAATAATTAAATTAGTAAGAATTATGTAATCCCTCCGTTCATTTTCATCTATCCATTTTTTTTTTACGGGAACTGAGCTCATTTATTTAAGAAGAAGAAAGCCTTAAAGCAGCCATTACAATGTCATGTATCTCACTAGGATACTCTTCAAGCCATACTCTAACAGAATTAAAATTGCAACTAAGTTTTGCCAAACTATGAGTTACTTTGTTTCCTTCCCTCTTCACAAAAGCATAAGTGCAAACATGACAGGAGCTAGCTAACAAGAGTATGTCTTTGATAATCAGACCAAAGGCAGTCTGATCCACACTCCCTTTTCGCAGGTTATGAAACAGCTTAAGGTTGTCCGTCTCAAGGCACACCTTCAAAAAACCGGACTCCATTGTAATCACCAAGGCATGTCTCAATGCCATAGCCTCTGCAACGTCCAAACAAGTAGCAGCAACGTCTCCAATAGCATCCCGCATCACTCCCCCTAACCCCCCACCATATTTGAAGTGAAGATGGCAGCATCAGAGTTGACTTTAATAAAACCAGAAGGAGGAGTAGTCCAGCGGCATTCAAGAGATTCAGCATTGGTGGTTTTGCCTCGCTGCTCCTTTGCACTCTCAAATTCACCTACAATGCTGACAGCCTTGTAAATTACATCAGTTAGATCTTTCTTTATCCCCTCATACGTCCAAGCATTACTGCGAAGCCAAATTCCCCACACCAAGCTCCAAAAAGATATTCCACCAACAGTGATCTTTGTAAGTCCCCCGTAGTTTCATACACCACTCAGCAAAATTACTACCTTCAACGTTCTCAACTTGCAGCCTCAAAGGAGAGAAATACCACATCAATTTTGCATCTTTACAAAGCACCAACATATGCATAATTGATTCATGCGCATCACCACAGAGAGGACATGTAGAATCCACTGTCATACCCCTGCTAATCAGCGTAATCGTAGCAGCAACAGCCCCCCTCACAGCACGACAGCAAAAGTTTTTAATCTTAGGGGGGATATCAGCGTTCCATATGCAATTCTAGTCAAAATCAATCCTACTCGAAGATGTAGTAGCTTTCTCACGAACACTCTCCATAATCAGCAGATTGTAAGCACTTTTTACAGTGAATCTTCCATCCTTAGACCAATGCCAAGTCCAAGCGTCTGGGCTATCAAAAAGTGGGATGGGAATATTGCAAATTTCCTGCACTTCCAAATGTTAGAAAGTGGAGTTGAGAGTTTGCAAATTCCAGTTTCTATTATCCATCAAGTCACGAACAGTGGCTGGACTATCATCAAGCAAAGCACGACTGCTCAACACACAAAAACCATTGAGAGAAGGCACCCACGGGTCCTTCCAAATATCTATAGAAGCTCCATTACCCACAATCTTTCTAATTAATTCCCTTCGACAGATCATCCCGTGCCCCTAAGATTGATCTCCAAGTGTAGCTCGAGTTAGAGACAATCTTTGCATCCATAAAGGAATTGTTTGGAAAATATTTGCCTTTGAGAACCTTTGCCATTAAAGAGTCGTCCTTAGTAAGGATACGCCATGCTTGTTTGGAAAGGACAGCTTGATTAAAATTTTTGAGATGTAAAGTTTCTCCCAAGCCACCCAATTCATTTTCCTATCATCCCCTTCCTTCCCCAAAAGAAATTTCGGCACAACTTCTCAACCTCATTTAGGATGCTCATCGGAATGGAGAAGCATTGCATTGCATAAGTAGGAATTGCTTGGGCTATTGACTTGATCAAAACCTCTCTCCCTGCTTGAGATAAATACTTCTCTTTCCAGCCCTTCAATTTTTTCCAGATTCGATCCTGAATATTTTGAAAAACCTGATTTTTGGAGCTACCAATGTAAGTTGGTAATCCCAAATATTTGTCATGACCCTCAACAGCCTTAAAAGATAACTTCATCTGAAGAATATATTTCCGATCTTGCTCAATGTTTCGACTAAAGGATACCTCAAACTTATCCATATTCAGTTTCTGACCAGAAGCAACTTCATAGGTTGAAAGAATCCCGAGCACATTCTCCACTTCCTCTTCATTAGCCCGAATGAACAAAACACTATCATCCGATCCGCAAAGAAAAGATAAGATATCGAATTTACATGCCGACCAATTTTTACCCCATGAATGAGTCTTCTATTTTCAGCATCTCTAATTAAAGTAGACAAACCCTCCACACACATAATGAAGAGAAAAGGTGATAGGGGATAACCTTGTCTCAATCCCCGACTAGGCACAAAAGACTTCAAAGGCTGCCCATTAACTAGAACATCAAAGGAAGCCGTACTAACACACCTCATCACCAAACTCTCATAACTTACTGGCAAACCCAATTTCAACATTATTTTTTTCCAAAAAACTCCATTCCACACGATCGTATGCTTTGCTCATATCTAACTTCAATCCTAAATAGCCCTTCTTTCCCTTCTTTTTTTTCTTAAGATAATGGAAGCACTAATATGCAACCAACACATTATCAGTAATCAAACGTCCCGGAACAAATCCACTCTGGGATTCATGAATAATCGAAGGAAGGACTATTTTTAACCGACTAGCAAGCACCTTAGTGACAATTTTATACAGCACATTACACAAATTGATAGGTCCAAAATCAACAGGAGACTCATAAGAATCTTTTTCGGGATAAGAACAATATGAGTCTGATTTATAGAGCCTATGTCACCATTATTATTAAGAATATCAAGTACTTTCCCAACAACATCAACACCAACAATATCCCAGAATTTTTGAAAAAAAGATAGCTGACATACCATCCGGACTGGTGCTTTTGTGGGATGCATTTGAAAAAGTGCTTCCCAAACCTCCTCGTCATTATATGGCTCGGACAATGTAGAACGTTGTCTATCAGTCACTTTGCATTCCACCTTAGCAATTACGAGCTCAACCTCCACATGTCTGTTTGAGGCAAAAAGATCAGAAAAATAGTCCACGAAAATTGCAGAAATTTGATCTTCATCAGTGAACGTACTCCCAGCCGCATAGGATATCTTGTTGACATTATTTCTCGCAGCTCTCTGCTTTGCCTTGTTGTGAAAGAAAGTAGTATTCTTATCTCCATTTTTTAACCATTCCTGTCGGCTCCTCTGCTTCCAATATAATTCTTCCCTTCTCTCCAATTCGTCCATCCGGTCATCTAAAGCTCGCATTTGAGCGATCACCTCATCAGTTTGAGTCTCACTCATAAGACTCTCCATCTTCGCTCTACAGTCTTTCATTTCTTTAACAAAGTCACCAAATTTTTCCCTACTCCAAGCACTTAAATTTACCGATGTGAAAGCGATTTTTGAACAAATGTCACCCCCTATCCCATGCATTTGCAACGATAGTGGCACAATTCTCGTCTCTCAACCACATTTCCTCGAAGCAATAAAGCCTAACTCTCTTCTTCTTTTTTTTTTGGGGTGTTTATGGCTTCTTTAATGCACAAAAGTATGGGGAGATGGTCAGACCATCGCTTAGAAAGGTACGTGACAAACGAGCCAGGAAAACAGTCTTTCCAAGCTTGATTAGCAAAGTAGCGATCGAGCCTTTCTTGTACATTTTCTATGCCTCCCCTATTATTGGTCCACATAAAGTCATGACCAATGTAAACCATATCAATGAACTGGCAGAAATGTACAGCTTCTCGCAAAACCTCAGCTTCCTCATTACAGAAAACACAACCACCTTGCTTCTCACTTGAGAGTAACATGAGATTAAAGTCTCCACCACACAACCATGGCTCACCACTAGTGTCCATCAGATTTTTCATTAAAATTCCTGTCTTGTGCTTGTTCTCTTCCTCGGGGAAGCCGTAGACACCGGTGAATCTCCATCCTTCACACAAAGCCGAACTCACCCAAACATCAATATCGTTTAGAGAGAAAGCCCACCACTCCTTCTACCCTCACCTTCACATTCCACAATCAAAGCAGCATTGATGTTCAACTTATTTTTAACTTTCTCAAACTCGTGTCTCTTCAACCGTGTCTCCGAAAGAAACACTAATTGGGGGGCACTCTAAAAACACCACACATTTTAGAGCATTAATTGCAGAGGTGCTCCCCAAGCCTCTATAATTCCATGAGAGGATGTAAGTCATTGTTCACAAAGAGCTCTATTGGTGGGGCTCACCACTCGTTAATCGTTTTGTGCTATAACTCTCCTCTTACTTCTATCATTGTCATCTACTCCCACCAGATTATCACTACTCCCTGCAGCTACACACCCCTTCCTTTTTTCCCCTGATAATTTCATCTCACCCTCCATACTATTGTCACTATCTCTCGGGGCTCGCTTCCACACTTTCCCAGAGCTATTCTTCCCACTACTTCCCTTACTCACCTCAAGGTTCGAAGTCACCAGGTTCTTTGTGCTCTCACCTCTGCTAAACAGAAATATCTCATTATTTTGGTGAAGTGAGATATTCATATCTCCCACATTCTAACTTAAATCAACTTCACCCAGTTTGTCTACAACCTCACTAACTTTGGTACAAGGGTTAAGTGTTTCGGCAAATTTTTTAGGCTTGGCAATGAACAGGGGTTTTGCACAACTTCCACCCTCTTTCTCACTCTCTTCCTTCTTATAACTTGTGCTGTATTTCCAGGGCGATGCTTTCAACCATGCTCCATAAACAACCACTGGTTCCTCAACCTCTCTACAATCCTCGCAGTCCTTCACTCCATGTCCCATTCTCCCACAATAGAAATAGAAGATAGGTGGTTTTTCATAACGAACATCAAAGGTCTCCTCCATTCCTCCCTTAACTTTAATTTGATTGATTTTGCAAGGGGTTTACGAACATCAACAACCACACGAATTCGAATTGATATGTCAATCCCAATCTAAGCAGAATTATCCATCTTTACAAAAGTGCCAAACTTATTCTAATCTTCTCAACATTGCTGAGGTTAAGCCACCCTTTGAACGGAAGGTTGTAAACCCTTACCCACATTGGTAAGAGATGAAGCGGCATTTCAGAGGGCTTAATCAAATCTGTCGACTCCCCCAAGATCAAAGCATGTATGTCAAAGTGCCAAGGTTGTTCTTTCAATACTCTATATTTGTCCCTCCAATGATGAAACTGGAACATAAACATATTTTTTCCAATGTTCGAGATGTCAACGCCATATTTTGGTTGCCACACTTCCTTCATAGTTACTATGAATGCATTAACATTCACATTACGAATAGTCCAGATTCTCCCCACCAGAGCAAGTTCTATACGAGCATTCTCATCATCTTCTCCATTATCATCCCATTCAATAACTTCCTCCGTCTGCTCTGCCTTCGAAGCCTCCGTAATGACATCTTCTTCGTTAACAGTGTTTGTGAGAGGGAGATTTTTGTTTAAATTCGCCATCGACAATAATCAGGAACAAATTTTAATTGAACACAAAAAAAAATCGATCGAAATCGAGAAAAGCCCCAAGAAAAGGAAACCCTAGTCAAGCACTA